ATTCTAAAAACTATGTATACAATACTTACAGTTACTTCCCAATACCTATCACCTATGTTAGACTGTGAGCTTCTACTCTAAACCAATCCAAAAGTGCCACCATCACAGCAGAAAATGGAGGCCAAGGAGAAGAAGGAGAAAGGCTGGACAAGCCCAGATTCCTCCATCTTGCCCCCTTTTAGAATCCCCATTCTAAAACCAGCAAAAATCTATTTTTCCACTCTGGGATAAATTCACTATCCTTCTACTAAAACTTTTGTGGGCTGTAATTCTTCATACAAGGTTGATAATTGTTTTTTCCAAGGGCTGAATCAAAGGCACAGGGGTCTTGGGCTCTGTGCCAAGGTCTCTGAGCCCCCTGACAGAGTCTTGAGTCCTCCAGGGCAACCAGATGAATTTCCTGGGTTTCCACAGGCTCTTTCTCCAGGCAGCACTGACAGAACCAGATGACACAGCCTCAATCTGCACCAAGGGAAATACAGGTTGGATATCTGGAAAAAGTTTTTACAGAAAGGTGATAAAGTTCTGGAATGGCCAGAGAGGTGGTGGAGTCCCCATCCCTGGGTGTGTTTAACAAAGCCTGGATGTGGCACTGGGTGCCAGGCTTTAGTTGGGGTGTTGGGGCTGGGTTGGACTCAATGAACTTGAAGGTGTCCCCAAGCAGGTTGTTCTGACACTTCTGTGAATTCTGTGAAAGGGGAAAGACACAAACTGTGCATTTTGCCTCCCATAACTGCTTTTTCCAACTGCTTAAACATTCTCTTAACCAAAACCTGACCAGGGAAAGGCTGTACCACAAAAGGAACACTGCCACATCAAACACCACGCCTGCATTGTAAATACAAAATGTTGAAATATGTTGGAAAATTTCTCTTGGAACACTGTGCCCACCAAGCCATAACTCAAGTCAACTTGGTTTTCATGAGCAATTTTGGTGATTGTTCTACATCCCCAGTGGAAATGAATGGTTGCTACTGCAGAGAATTCAGAAAATTCACTGTGTCCTCACAGAGTTTCTGAGCTTTCAGGGCTGGCAGTGGCTGCTCAGGGATGGCTTTGGCCCGTGTCCCTCCAAGCAGCCACTGCCCAAGCAGCTGCGCTGGCCCCGGGCTCTCCTCCTGGCCTGCTGGGCTTTGTTGGGTGGCACAGCCTGTGCCAAGGGGCGGCAAGGTGCCCGCAGGCCCCAGCTCTGGGGGAAACGGGAACATCCTGCCCGCATCCACCGTGCTGCCAGCTCAGCAGCGCAGCACAGCACTGGCTGACGCTCCCCATTGCTCCCACAGGTGCAGCCGGCCCCACCACACGTGTTCCTGATTCCCAGAAGGGGTGTGAAAAACGGCAATAGCTTGTTTGTAAAATTTTATTAATAATAAAATGTTTATAAAAATAGCAATATCATTAGAGTGATAAAAATTTTGGACAATTTCAATTGGGAAAATCAGAGACAATAGGAAAAAAGAGATACAGAAATCTGGGTACCTATTTTCTCAGCAGCATTGGCCCAAAAAAGGACACACTTGAACGGATGATTAACCCTTAAAAACAATAACCTGTTGCATATTCATACATCTCATACATGATGCATAAATTCCATTCAAACACAGGATTCTGCCTGGTCATCGTCAATTTCTCCCTCTTGATCCTAACCAGCTTCCTGAGGGCTGAGCGAGGCAGGAAGAAGTTAGTTTCTTCTGATAGGAGAGCAATAAATTCTTTCTCTGTGAAAGATTTCGGTGTCCTGTGGCCGCTATATTTGCAAAAAGCCAATCATAAAATACACATTTCTCAGACAACCTCAGAATGGCTTGCTGTTGGGGAACACTCTGTTTGCTTGGGATAAGGGCAAGTTTGACCTTCTGTTGATGCTGGAAAGGATTTGGAAGCGCTCAACAGAGCCCTGACTGAGAGCTTCCCTGTTGTGGTACATGTTTTTGATTGTAATTCGGCCCTAGTAGTCAGTTTTATGACACCCCCTTATTTGGTATTGTTATACCATATTTTATTGCCAATGAGTTGCTCAATTCCCCCCTGTATTGTTGGTTTTTCCCTAGTTGTCCATCTCCCCAAAGACCTACCCTTTTGTTCCCTGTTCCTCCTCCCATTCAATGTCAATCCCTCCCCAAGCCTGCCCCTTTCTCTGGAAACTTCCCTATCCATTTTGTATCCTTTGAAACCCTAATGGTTTTTTTAAGTTGTCCTCCTCCCCTGTAATCCCCTATTGGTATAAACAATGTATTCCCTGCCTTGTGTTCCACCCTCAGTTTCTCCCAAGTGGCTAAAGACTGTATCCTCCCCAGGGACCTCCCCAGTTTGGAAATGGGTGTATGGCAGTAATTCAGTGTCTTTCTGCCGCTGAGTCGGCAGGGAACAAACATAGAGAAGAGCTCTCCCTGTTCCTTGTCCCTACCCCAGCGCAGTCCACCTGTGCTGTAAAGCAGCTGTGCCCTACAGCCAAAACCCAGAGTTGACAGCTTTCTGGGGGCGGCCCACTCTGGGGGTTGGTGTTGGCAGCAAGTCGGGCTGAAGAAATCGGGCACTGCAGCACTTCCCAAATGAGCTCTTCTCTTGCAATAAAGAGATGGAGCTGGCAGCCCAGTGTCTGGGTGGCAGCAGCAGCAAAGCCCACCGGGCAGCAGCACAGGCTGGGCTCCATGGCCAGGAGCAGCCGTGGATGCCCACGGTGTGGGCAGGCAGGAGCCAGGCAGGGGCTGCTGTGACCAGCGGCGGGGCCCCCAGGGCTGGGGGAGCCCATGCTGAGCGTCCCTGAGCTGAGGGCACATTGCCTTCCCTGGCATCAGCTGGGCCTGGGCCTCCTCCAGTGGCATGCCCAGGGAAAGAGGGAAGCCATCGGGAGGTGCTTGCCTTGAGAACAATGGAAAGAGGCTGGACTCTGAAGGAAGTCCTTCATAGCCTGAGGGATGAGCTCAGAGCCCGACAGACTCTGGGCCTGTGGCAGCCCCAGACCTCTTATGAGCAGAGTGGGGATTTGTCCCCCAGGCCTCATCTGTTGCCCCAGGGACACATGGTGAACACACACACACAGAAGATGGCTAGGCACTGGTGCTGCTCCCTGAGTGTTATGTTTGGGTCCCTCTAAAGGCATGCAGGGGCTTTGGGCCACCTCTGTGCTGTGCAGGGGACTGGGGACACCCAGAAATTTTGCAGGGAATTGAATGTATGTCCAAAGGTGTGTGGGGGCATCTGTAAATTGAGCAGGTCTCGGAGGACTTTTTTCAAGGACACAGGGGGATTTTAGGGTGGCTGAGGACACCCATAAGATGTGCACAGGGTTTGGGTGTCCCCTAAAGTGTGCAGCTACCCTGAAGGCCTGTGTTGAATTATTTTTGTCAGCTTTGGCATCAAGTTCTTCACTTTTTAAATATGGGCCAAAGCACAGCACAATGCAGAGTAGGGAGTTGGTGTCAGAATGGCAGGACTGCTGCTGCATGCAATAATGGGAATCATGAGTTGAATTTTTGACTTGACATTGCTATTATATGTAGAACCACAAAAAGTGTCACTTGTGCAATATCGTGTACCTCAGTTGTGAAAAAAACCGAGCTTGCAAATAGGTACTGGGCGGGACATCATCTCCTTGCTGGAAGGGCACCGTTGGAGATCAACTCCAACTAAATCCTGCCCCAGCCATGAGGTCACAGCAGGCTCTGAGGTCACAGAAGTGCCAGAGCCCCGTGGTAGCACAGCAGCACAAGGAGCGAGCAGTCAGTGCTTGAGCACAACTGTTGCGGCAGCAGCAGCGGCGGTGGCAGCAGTGGTGCTGACATTGGGACAGGGGTGTCAGGACAGCGGTGGCAGCAAGAGCTGCGGGACTGGCAGAGGGCAAGGCAGCATGGCCCTTGCTCTGCGCCTCTTCCTCCTGCTCCTCCTGGCCGTGGCCCTGCCTGCCAGGGCTGCCCAGGCTGCTTCGCTGCAAGCGTGGCGAGCAGGTGAGCCGGCACCCTGGCTCCCCTTTCCCGGGACATCGCTCCCTGCTCCCTGGGAAGCGCTGGGGATGGTTTTCCCCAGGCCTTTAGGGAGGGTTTCCTCTGGGGGAGGGAGAGAGCTCCCAGGGCCCTGGGCTGCCCCAGTTTCCCCTCCCGGGATGTGTCACAGGGCCTGCAAAGAGGGTGCAGAGTGACCAGGAGCCAGCCCAGAGCTCCCCAGGCCCCTGTGCAGCTTTGGCCTTGTCCATTGACATCTGGCCCCCACAGCCCTTGCCAACTCCCTTGCAGTGCCCAGTTCCCGGAGGGAGAAGGGGATGCCAGCGCATCATTGAAATGGGTCTGGTCTTTGCTCCCTTCTAGATTTGGATCGCGAGTTTAATGATTTAGATTTGTTGTTGAATGATATTTCGAATGTCTTGAAGAATGCTATAGGTAAGTTCTGAATTTCCGTTACTAGTGACATATTAATCAGTATCGAAGTTGCAAGAGCTCGTTCATCTGCCATTTTCATTAGAAGGGTTCTGAAAACCTTGCCCTGCTCTTTTCTGGAGCCCTGAGAGATCCCACAGGATGACTGTCAGTGGGAGGAAGGAGCATTTAGCCGTCCAACCTCCTCCCATGTTCAATGCCACTGTGTCCTTCCGTGCGGTCTGTGCAGTCACAGACAAAAGCAGAGAGGGAAGGTGCAGGGCCCAGGGCTGTGCCCCAGGGCTGAGCCTTTCCTGCAGCCTGAGGATCTCCTACACTGCCATGGGTGCTGCTCTGTCCTGCCTTTCTTTGCAGCTGAACCTGTTGGTGAAGGTGATCTGGCTTCCCAACCCACGTCCACGACTGAGCCTCTGGGACATGGCGAGGGTAGGTCAAGGCCTTTCCCCTGGGAGAGCTGCCAGCTCAGAGCCCAAAGCTCGGCCAGGGGGGCATCGCTGCAGGTTCCAGGACAGAGCCATACACGTGTTTGCCCTCGCCCTGCGCCATCCCCTCACCGCTCCTGAGGCTCAGTGGTGCCCGTGCAGCTGAGTAGAGGCGGCAGAAGCTTCTGTGGCTGTTGTGTTACAGATGTGTCTGCAGGGAGGACTCTTCCTGATCCTTCCCTCATTCCTACACAGAAGCCTGCCTCCCATCACAGGGGTGAGTAGTGTGTCCCTGCTGACCCCACAGACTGAGCCCTGCTTCTGTGGGATCCATTAATGGGAAGAGGAAACATGTTTTTCTAAGGTCCTCTAAAAGGAAAGAACAAAGCTGCAGGACAGAAGAAAGCCCATGAGTCATCTGAACACATGAGGCAAAGGACGAAGGAAATGCAGCAGGCAGGACAAGGTGGGTGCATTTCCCTCAGCCTTGTCCTGGGGCTCAGCAGCTGGGGGCTTTGGCTGCACATCTGGACACGCCGTGCCCGGCACAGCAGGAAGGGATCCATGGCAGCCTCGCTGCCCCGCTGCTGCTTCCACGCCCTGCAGGGCTGTTTGCCAGCCTGGCCTGGCTGCAGCTGCTCCCCGGCCACTGCAGGATTGATTGTGGCATCAGCTGACAGGCAGCCCAAACTGCAAAATGCACCTCAGATCCCCTGCAATTTCCCATCTCCAGGCAAATCAGAAGGGGCAGCTGTTTGGAGTACAGAGGGCTCTGGTCTAAACAAAAATTTTATAGGAATTTCCTCACCATTCTTTACCATGTCTGTGACAAGCATTGCCTCTTGAAGATTCCCCATCCTCAATGGGGAACAGCACCACCCAATCCAGCTGTACCACATCTTTTCTCCAGAAGCAGATGGAGAGGCTGTGATGAAGGCTCAGTTTCCTGGAGGAAGCAGTGGCTCATTGGCAACTTCTGCTGCAGGAAGGGAGGCAATGCCAGGCACAGCCACAGGAGGTAATTGTTGTGCCTCTGGGCCTGAGCCCTGCTGAGTTTTGAGCTGCCCTCTCTGCTGCTTGGCACTGTGGGCACAGCCCGGACAAGACGGGCACAGCCTAAAGGAATTGTCCCGAGCAGGCTCAGGGTACTCGGGTACTGAGCTGTCCTGCTGGGCTCCCTCCATGGGAGACACGTCCTGAAACCTGGGAGCGGCTGCACGGGGTGCCCATGGTGGGGAAAGGGCAGAGGGGGAGAGCAAGGCTGCACTGGGTCCTGAGAGGGCTTGGCCATGTGCCCTTGGGATGGAGAAAGGGGTCCCAAGGCAAAGAGAGATGGAGAGATAGAAGAAGGTGGGAAAGGCAGGAGAAAGGACAGGAGAGTCAGAGGGACAGGGTGATAGCTGTGGCACTGCCTGCTGCAGTTTTCCCCAGGGCTTTAGCAAGAGTTGCAGCTGTGGGAGTGAGAGCACCCAGGGCCTTGGGCTGCTTCAGCCGCCCCACCAGGGATGTTGCACAGGGCATGGAACGAGGGTGCAGAGTGACCAGGAGCCAGCCCAGAGCTCCCCAGGCCCCTGTGCAGCTTTGGCCTTGTCCATTGACATCTGGCTCCCACAGCCTTACTCGACCCCCTTGCAGCGCCCATTTCCCAGAAGCAAACGGGGATCCCAGCATGCCCTGAAAAATGTTCTCATCTCTGCTCTGTTCTAGATGAGGTGTCTGGAAAGGCTTCTCCATTAGATGGACGGCATAAAATTTTGAAGCCTTTGGAGCCTCGTGCAGGTATGTTCTCATTGTCCCACCACAGAATAATTGTTGGCAACCTGGCAGGAACCAGGTGACAGAAGTTGCTGTGGCTGTTGTGTTACAGATGTGTCTGCAGGGAGGACTTTTCTTGTTCCTTTGCTGGTTCCTTCACCGAAGCCAGGCTGTCATCGCAGGGGTGAGTAGTGGGTCCCTGCTGACCCCACAGGCTGAGTTCTGCTTTTGTGATATCCGTTCATAGGAAATCAAACCATGTTTTCTAAGGTCCTCCAACAGGAAAGTACAAATCTACAGCACAGAAGGAAGCTCATGAGCCATCTGAATACATGAGGCAAAGGACAAAGGAAATGCAGCAGGAAGGACAAGGTGGGTGCATTTCCCTCAGCCTTGTCCTGGGGCTCAGCAGCCGGGGGCTGTGGCTGCACATCTGGACACGCCGTGCCCGGCACAGCGGGAAGGGATCCATGGCAGCCTCACTGCCCCGCTGCTGCTTCCATGCCCTGCAGGGCTGTTTGCCAGCCTGGCCTGGCTGCAGCTTCTCCCCAGCCTCTGCAGGAAGGCATTGGGCATCAGTTCACAGGCAGACCAAACAGCAGCAGGGGCCTCAGATCCCCTGCAATTTCCCTGTCGCCAGTCAAATCAGAAGGGGCAGCTTTTTGAGTACACAGGGCCCTGGCCTAACCAAAAATTTTATAGGGATTTCCTAACCATTCTTAACCATGTCTGTGACAAGCATTGCCTTCTGAAGGGTCCCCATCCTCAAAGGGGAACAGCCCCACCTGACCCAGCTGTACCACATCCTTTCTCCAGAATCAGATGGAGAGGGTGTGATGAAGGCTCAGTTTCCCGGAGGAAGCAGTGGCTCATTGGCAACTTCTGCTGCAGGAAGGGAGGCAATGCCAGGCACAGCCACAGGAGGTAATTGCTGTGCCTCTGGGCCTGAGCCCTGCTGGGGCTTGAGCTGCCCTCTCTGCTGCTTGGCACTGTGGGCACAGCCTGGACAAGACGGGCACAACCCAGAGGAATTGTCCCGAGCAGGCTCAGGTCACTCGGGTACTGAGCTGTCCTGCTGGGCTCCCTCCGTGGGAGACACGTCCCGAAACCTGCGAGCGGCTGCACGGGGTGCCCATGGTGGGGAAAGGGCAGAGGGGGAGAGCAAGGCTCCCCTGGGTCCTGAGAGGGCTTGGCCATGTGCCCTTGGGATGGGGAAGGGGTCCCAAGGCAAAGAGAGATGGAGAGATAGAAGAAGGTGGGAAAGGCAGGAGAAAGGACAGGAGAGTCAGAGGGAAAAGGGGGATAGCTGTGGCACTGCCTGCTGCAGTTTTCCCCAGGGCTTTAGCAAGAGTTGCAGCTGTGGGAGTGAGAGCACCCAGGGCCTTGGGCTGCTTCAGCTGCCCCACCAGGGATGTTGCACAGGGCATGGAAAGAGGGTGCAGAGTGACCAGGAGCCAGCCCAGAGCTCCCCAGGCCCCTGTGCAGCTTTGGCCTTGACCATTGACATCTGGCTCCCACAGCCTTACCCGACCCACTTGCAGTGCCGATTTCCCAGAGGCAAATGGGGATCCCAGCATGCCCTGAAAAATGTTCTCATCTCTGCTCTGTTCTAGATGAGCTTGCTAGGAAGATTTCTCCATTAGATTGGCTGAAGAAAATTTTGAAGCCTTTGGAGCCTCGTGCAGGTTTGTTCTCATTGTCCCACCAGAGAATAATTGTTGACAACCTGGCAGGAACTTGGTTAGAGAAGCTTCTGTGGCTGTTGTGTTACAGATGTGTCTGCAGGGAGGACTTTTCTTGTTCCTTTGCTGGTTCCTTCACCGAAGCCAGGCTCTCATCGCAGGGGTGAGTAGTGTGTCCCTGCTGACCCCACAGGCTGAGTTCTGCTTTTGTGATATCCGTTCATAGGAAATCAAACCATGTTTTCTAAGGTCCTCCAACAGGAAAGTACAAATCTACAGCACAGAAGGAAGCTCATGAGCCATCTGAATACATGAGGCAAAGGACAAAGGAAATGCAGCAGGCAGGACAAGGTGGGTGCATTTCCCTCAGCCTTGTCCTGGGGCTCAGCAGCCGGGGGCTGTGGCTGCACATCTGGACACGCCGTGCCCGGCACAGCAGGAAGGGATCCATGGCAGCCTCGCTGCCCCGCTGCTGCTTCCACGCCCTGCAGGGCTGTTTGCCAGCCTGGCCTGGCTGCACCTTCTCCCCAGCCTCTGCAGGAAGGCATTTGGCATCAAGTGACAGAGAGCCCAAACTGCACCATGGATCCCCCTGCATTTTCCCGGTGTCTGAGCACATCCTGAGGTGTGCCTTCTTGGCAGAGGGAGGGCCATAGGAAGCCCCAAAGGCCTGTGGGGATCAGGATTTTCCTGATTCTTATCCATGTTGTGGACAAGTATTGCCTCCTGAAGAGGCCACCACCTGGATGTGCAATGATTGCATCTGATCCCACCAAGCCTCTTCCTTTCTCAAGGGATGGACAGAGAGGCTCTGTGGAAGGCGGCATTTCCTGCAGGAAGGGAGGCGATGCCAGGCACAGCCACAGGAGGTAATTGCTGTGCCTTTGGCCCTGAGCCCTGCTGAGGCTGGAGCTGCCCTCTCTGCTGCTTGGCACTGTGGGCACAGCCCGGACAAGACGGGCACAGCCCAGAGGAATTGTCCCGAGCAGGCTCAGGGCACTCGGGTACTGAGCTGTCCTGCTGGGCTCCCTCCATGGGAGACACGTCCCGAAACCTGCGAGCGGCTGCACGGGGTGCCCATGGTGGGGAAAGGGCAGAGGGGGAGAGCAAGGCTCCCCTGGGTCCTGAGGTTAAGTCCGGGCAGAAGGGTTCTGAAAACCTTGCCCTGCTCCCTTCTGGAGCCCTGAGGGATCCCACAGGATGACTGTCAGTGGGGGGAAGGAGCATTTAGCTGTCCATCCTTCTTCCGTGTTCAATGTCAATGTGTCCTTCTGTGTGCTCTGTGCAGCCATGCAGAAGGGCAAAACGGAAAGGGGCTGGGCCTAGGGCTGTGCCCCGGGGCTGAGCCTTTCCTAGAGCCTGAGGATCTCCTGCAGTGTCACAGGAGCTCTTCTGTCCTCCCTGTCTTTGCAGCTGAACCTGTTGGTGAAGGTGATCTGGCTTCCCAACCCACGTTCAGGATTGAGCCTCTGGGACATGGCGAGGGTAGGTCAAGGCCTTTCCCCTGGGAGAGCTGCCAGCTCAGAGCCCAAAGCTCGGCCAGGGGGGCATCGCTGCAGGTGCCAGGACAGAGCCATGTCCGTTTGTGCCCTTGCCCTGCACAATCCCCTCACACCTTCTGCTCAGGCCTGGCAGCTATTTGTAGGAAGGTGGGCCCTGACCCAGCCCCAAAGACCAGATGGTTTTGAATCTTATCCCCATTTTTGATAAGCATGATGTCCTAAAGATGCCACCAAAAGAAATCAGAAATTGTTCCATCTGATCCAGCTGAACTTTTTCCTTTTTCAAGTGATAGCGCAAAAGGCAGGACAGAAGGGAGTGTTTCCCCAAGCAGGCAGAGGCCGACTGGCAGCCCCTGCTGCAGGAAAGGAGGAGATGCCAGACATAGGCACTGGCACAGGAGGTAATTTCTCTGCCATGGTCAGCCATTTAGCTGGGCTGTGTGGTGGCACCTCTTCCCCCCAGGTCCTGCCCTTGCATGGCCCAGAAGCAGCCAATGCTGGAGGCACATCTGGAGGCTTGGAGGCCTCTGGAGCTCATTCACAGCTCTTGGGAAAGGGGACCCGTGCACTAATGTCCCTCCCACTGCAGCTGCTCCCGAGCTGGCCCTGAGTGCCCAGAGGCCCAAGGCACAGGAGCAGCTCCCAGCGGGAGCCCTGCCGCGAGCCCAGGGCCAGAGCCAGCCTTGGCTCCCGACTGGGCAGGGGCTGCACTGGGTCCTGACAGGGCCTGACTCTGTGCCCTGGGGCTGGGGGAGCAGCCACGGGGCAGGGAGGGCCAGGGCTGGCAGTGGCTGCTCAGGGATGGCTTTGGCCCGTGTCCCTCCAAGCAGCCACTGCCCAAGCAGCTGCGCTGCCCCCGGGCTCTCCTCCCAGCCTGCTGGGCTTTGTTGGGTGGCACAGCCTGTGCCAAGGGGTGGCAAGGTGCCCGCAGGCCCCAGCTCTGGGGCAAACGGAGAACGTCCTGCCCGCATCCACCGTGCTGCCAGCTCAGCAGCGCAGCACCGCACGGGCTCACGCTCCCAAATGCTCCCACAGGTGCAGCCAGCCCCACCACACGTGTTCCGGATTCCCAGAAGGACCCTGGAAGGGTTTTCTGTAAGGGAACAGGCTGCTGGATAGGATTAATTGCAGGCCTGCTTTTTTTGGAGCTTATTTTCATCTTATTCTGTGTCCAAATTTGGACTTACTGGAAGAGAAAAGGGTGAGTGTTTTGTTCACTTTTCCCTAAAACAGCTTCTTTTAACAGTCTTATGTTGTAGACAGGAAATGTTCCCAGAGAAGCTGCTGTGGTGTTGTTGCCAGTCTGTGATTGTCCAGAGAAGCTGGGCAGCCTTGCCAGCTCTGGGCCCTGCTGTGCAGGAGGCTCCCTGTGTGCCACTGGCAGCTGGGGCCTCAGCCACCTCCTCTCTCCACAGGGATGACTCTGCAGCTTCACAAGACTGGCCAAAAAACTCAGCCAGGGGGAACTGGACCTGTTAACTCACATCTCCTTGCTCGTGTCCGTTGTCCCTTCCACGGCTGCATTACCAGCTCATTGCTAGGGACAGCTTGTTTATATCACCACCCAGAGCAGGAGCCTCTGTCCCCAAAGGTGCTGCCCCTGGTGTCCAGCCAGGCCAGGAGGTGCAGCCCTCCTACCAGGGATGGGCCTGAGCCTGGCAACATCTTTGGGGTTCAGCTCAGGTGTGTCTGTGCTACCACCAGCACTGGCGGAGCTGCTTGTCTGGGCACAGCCAGGGCTGGGCAGGCAACAGCTGAGCACGGGGCTCCTGAGACAAAGCAACCTCATTTTCTCTTTGTTTTACATTTATACACAGCAGAACATTTTAGAAATATTTAGAAACATTTTTTGTAGAAAAATATCCCCAAATATTTCTTCCCTTTTCTCATTGTAGTTTAAGATTTTTCAAAGTAGTTTTAGAATTCTGAAAAATTTGGAACACTTTTACACTTGCCGAATAAAAAATAAAACTGCATTTAATTGGTGATCATTACTCTTAGATGAACTAAGTTATCACAAGACACCCGGTGTACTGGAGAGGCTCTTTTCCCACTGGAGATTTTTACCTACTGACAGCAACAGACCTAAAGCCCTGTCTCTGATAATTTCCAGCATTTCTTACAAGCTCCTCTCTCAGTCTTCAAAGGCAAACTTTGAGCACAGTGGGAATCTCCTGCTGTGCAGGAGGGTCTCTGTGAGCCAGCTGACACTGGGGCCTGTTTTGCAGAGATAAACGCAATTCCACGACTTTGTGAAAGTTGTAAAGTCGGTATGTTTATTACTGTGCTGGATGCATGTGGAGATTCCTCTCCTTAAAAGACATGCATACCTCTGGGAACTCCAGATCCTTTTTCATCACCCTCTCAAATAGATATGCATCCAATTTTACGATAGGTTCATACATATTCATTTTACAAATTTGGTGTGACATTTACCGCTAGTTAATATTTATCAGAAAGAATTCCCAGGTCAGGTTGGCCTCTTCTCACAGCAGTTCCTCTGTCTCTGTGTCCCCTGCCACCCCCTTATCTCTGTCCTTCACTGAAGTAGTTTCTCTGAGCCTAGGCTTTTTACCAGTCAGACTAAACAGCTATAATTTCCAACTACAGACTTAACTAAAAAACGCCCATTTCGCCTAAATCAAAATGGATTTCTACTCTGGAAAATTTCTACTCTGTCTCTTTTCCCACCTTTCCTAGAAAATAAGTAAATTCTTTTATCTAAAGCAAATCCCTATGACAATAAGTGTCTCTTAATGCTTTACCATGTACGTTTGATACGGAGGTTAACTCAGCTGTTCATTGTAGTATTCTCCAATTTCACATTAGCAATATAATGGATAACCCTAAAATTAGCTTATTCCAGCTAATATTAACAAAACTACAATGGAATGACACTATTTATTAAGGACAATTGCAATTGGTGGTCACCCAAAGATCACATTCCACCAGTGATGATCTGCAGTTTCCTTTACTATTTGTAGAATTCTGCTTACTTCCTTGGTGTCATGTTAGACAGTAATTTAGGTTTTCTCTGTTTTCTGGAATTTCGTTCAAGATCTCCACTAGGTCTTGGTGCTTAATTAATTGTTTTACCAATGTAAGGTCCATCCCAGCAGGAGTAGGTGATGGTCTGTGTTGAATTGTGTAATTGGTTTTAATCAACTGGTGGGATGTCACTGGGGCCAGGTACAAAAAATCACACCCGATAATCTTAACAAAATTGCAAGCACAAAAATTAAAAATATTTCTTTTAGACAAAAAAACGTTGTTATCAATTTTAACAGTAGCACAAGCAGTTCTCAGGCACACATAATTTTTACTAGTATATACGAGCAGTTTTCTGATCAGTGACTGGATGAATCTCAAAGTGGCAAATACTCTGTTCAGTGTCTAGACACACATCTTGGCCATTAATTGTATTGCTTTCACAAATGAATCCTAGTTGTTCTCTAGTAATGCAGGATTCTAACTTTACTCTCTTGGCCACTTTTCATTCACCTTTCCTGCGCACACCCTATGTTCTGAAGGGTAGAGCACTGTTTTTTCATTATTTAATCCTAGTGCAACGATGGGGCGGATAACATAAACAGTGGCATTACGTATGGTAAGCACAAAGGCAGTGGCCACATTAGATGCAGGATCATAGGTGAAATTTAATATAGTCCACAAGGATTGAAACTTCTTTTCAAAATCAATCACATTATCCCAGACAACTTTCCAAATTTCACCTGGAAAATTACCTTCACCCCCTTCCCGTATGATCTGAGCTGCTGTTGCCTGCATCTATAACTCTGCTTTTATACAACTGAAAGCTAAAGAC